TATTAAAACGAAGACTTTAAATAACGCACTAAAGCATCGTTATCGGTCATATCGAAAAAATTCATTTTCACAGCAAAAAGAATAATCGAGATGCAATAGCTGTTCGTTTATTACAATAATGGGCCAACGCCATGTACAGGCACTCCCCTCCTGCTTGGAACGTGCCCTTCGATGGCTGAAATTATTTCCTTTTGAAATTTCAGGACGTATCGGTGTCGAAGAAAAAGTAGACAATGATCGACGAAGCACAATTATTCATCGATTATCTAATATTATTGCCGTGAATGAAATTTGACTGCTTAAAATTAGATATTCCATGCACACCAAGCGTAGTCGTCAAAAATAAATTTAAAATAACGGTAAGTCGGGTGGGAGGGGGGGGGGGTGTGATTTTATCGCGTGCGAGCTTTGTTTGCCCGTGCAAGTCGAGCGCGCAGGGCCGTTATTTGTAAATTCTTCAACGAACCAGAGATTCGCAATGAAACGTATAAGAAAATAAAAAGATAGAAAGAAAAAATTCTTTCGATCCCGAGAAAAAAGCGCAAAACATTCGCTCTCTCGCTCCCCACCCCCAACCGAGCTTACCCTCCCCCTTTCGTCGATCTTACACGGGCTAGGGAGGTTAGATCCATCTGGTTATATCCGGTTCAAGCCGAGCCTGTTGGTACTGTGTATGTGCACGCGATCGTGCGCCAATACACCGAGCAAGCTAGCGTAGCGGCAACAAGAGGGACGCGACGATCGACGTACCGGATAATCGGCTACAAGAAAGAAGACGAAGAGAAGAGTAAAGAGTAAAGCGATGGGATGTACGCCTCTCCTCCTCCCCCCTCACTCTTCCTTCCGTCCCTCGCACACGCTCGCACGCTCGTTCCCTATCGCGCAGCTTTCTCTTTCATTCTCATCTCCGAGGATCGACAACAATTCGAACTCCTCGTCCTCGAGCTCAGCTCGACGAGGAGAGAAGAGGAGAGGAGAGGAGAGGAGTGGAGAGGAGAGGAGTGGAGAGAAGAGAGGCGAGACGAGGCGAGGCTTTTCCTTCGTCGTAACCGACATTTTCACTAAGCGTCGAACGCGCTAGATTTTTACGAATGACGACAATGGGGACACGCACGCACGCGGCTTCTTCCGCGGCTGCTGCTCGTTGACAAGACAAGGGAGGATCGTCGTCGCCGCCCATCGCAATGCCTCAGCAGTGAAATAGTAAACAAAGGTGGCCGGATCGATCGTCGGATAGTGGAAATGCGACCGGGATGCGATGGAGGGCGCCCGATTTAATCGACACGCGTACTCACTTGCTGGAGTTGCGGCTGCCGTCGAAGCCCTTGAACGTGCCGGTGGACGTCATCTCTTCTCCGCGAGTTCCTCGGACTCCCTTTTTCCTGCCTCGACAACGAACGACTAACTAAGTCCCTCTCCTCGTTCTTTCTTGAACACGTACAACCCGGGCGAGTCCTGCGGGAGCGAGCGACAAAATTACCGAGCTTCTGCGTGTGTACACAAACGTCGAGGACACTCGGAGCGAAACAGTCGTCGCGTGTATATATACCGGGTCCCGGGAAACAATCGTTGAGCGCGCGCAGTCGTGTCCTATAGGCGGTCGCGGGCTGTTGTCGTTCGCCTCGTCGCTCCTATACGGCCGCTACCACCTATCCCACCCTCCCTCCCTCTCGCTCACTCGCTCTCTCTCTCTCTCTCCCCTGTGCGCCGCGGACGGCTTTACCGCCCGCCCGTCGCTCTCGCGCGGGTCTCTGCTCGCACGGAGTGCTGACGGTCAGTTACGGTTGCGAACGCGACGATGTGTAGCGCCCCTTTTGACGGTTCGCTCTAGGGGTAGGGGGGATAGGAGTGTTGAGGAAGGTAGGCGACTGGCTGGCTACCTGGGGCTACCTGGCTACCTTTACCCGTAACGGCGCTGTTCCACAGCTAATGGGACGAGGAAGCTTTTATGACATTGACGCGGGCATTTTATTTGAATAATGGGGGTGGCGGCAGGAGGTGTCGCACAGGACTTATTATCGAGTGACGCGAGGTTCGATCGCTTTACGATATTTTGCACGTCTTGTCCATCTAGCCGGTGTACTAATTTGAAAAGTTACGATGCCCCTGTTCAGTCGATATCAATTGGTAAAGTTATTCACAACGGAATTGCTCGATTGCACTTGGTTTAAGTTTTTTCTACATCAAATAATGTATGTACGGATTATTCGGCTTTCTTAGTCATTGTCTAGGCGACAACTCGAAAGCTCATAACTTGTATCGACCTTGATCACTTTAATTACTAAATACGTGCTATTTTCCGCATTGCGTTCTACACGATTGCACCTCTAAATCATCGATTTAACTCACTAAATTACTTAATTTAATTACTATTCTAAGAATCAAAATTTCTAGAATGCGTTTCCAGTCGCTACCACGTCGTTTCGACATTATCAAACATGTAGAAAAATTACGAATTTTTCCCTTAAATTTGCACATTCTTCTCAAAAATTTAACGTCAAAATATAATAACGAATATACTTTAAATATTATTTAAAAATATTTAATAAATAATCAATTGTGTTGTAACTTGGTTAACGTACTAGACGTAAATATTGAAAATATTTTTAAAACTAATAATAATTCATTTCAAACATTTTCGTTCAGAGCTTAACAACGACCATTGCTTATTTCATTAATACGATATTGTAAATAAATATAAATAACATCTATAAAAGATTTCTTATGTACAGCAATGAAAATATTTTTTTAACGTTTCACAATAATTGCCATGTCCATAAGAAAATAAAAAACATAAAAAATTTCAAATAATTTTATGTATAAAATCTTTTAGATATGTTAAGATGTTCTGCTTCTATTTTCGCCTCCCTGCTGTATTCTCTCTCTCTCTCTCTCTCTCTCTCTCTCTCTCTCTCTCTCTCTGTATATATGTAAATTTTTAATATTTTATAGAAATAAAAAACAATTATTTAACGAATAAATTTTTAACTCGATGAATATATTGAAAAACATTTTACGAAATTGTAAATCAAAATTAAAAAGTATTTTATAGATCGAATGAATCGAAGGAAATATTAAAACTACAGTATCGGTGCATAAATTTATTATACATATACATATATATGAATTTTTATATTTATTAAAGATCGGTATTTAAAATCAACGACTAATTTTTTAATTTTATATAATTCGAGATATTGATTTTGTTTGAGCATTAAGGCAAGTTTTAATGAACGAAGTATTATCTAAAAGAAATTCTAAATATGTATGTATATTTTATGATATATATATATATATATATATATATATATATAGTTATTAAAATATTTATCTGTCATTGCCAAATTTCAACATTGAATAAATTATACTTTCTTTTATCTCACAATAAAATAAAAATGAAACACTGACTTTACTGTACAGCATATAAATACTGTAATACTTTTTAAAACAAGAAAATTTGTTTACAATTTACATATAATTTATGTATATAATTTTGTGTGTGTGTGTGTGTGTGTGTGTGTATTTATAAAGTATACTTGCCTTTTCATTATTCAAAAATAAACAGAAATTACTTATATAAATAAACATGTTGATTTTTATACAATTTATTGTGTAATAATAGAAGATACAGAATACACAATCATATTGAAATTAATTTTGTTGGATAATAAAGAGGTGTAATTATTCATTTTTATACTTTTTTTAGTATAAATGAAAATTTTGATATACTATAATTGAAATGTAGTTTTATACTTGATACATAATTTAAGACTTGTTTACAGTGTGTAATTGTTAAACAAAATTATAATTGCGTAGTTTTTCAAACTTCGCATCATGAAAACCATAAACAAATTTACAGGATTCAGAAAAATAGTCGCTCATATGTACAAAATGAACCCAAAGGGGCAAATTTAAGAATAATTTTTCTTGTTATAATCATAAGATAGAAAAACCTATGAATGAAATGTCAACATTAATAGATGAAAAATGTTCAATTGCTTTAAAAAAGTAATCTACGCTATCGACAAGCGTTTAGCATACTACTTTTTTATTTCTTATCTATTTTATATCTTACATTTGACCATTCTCACAAATTATTAAATAAGCAAAGTAAGTTTAATCCTAGAGATTTTCAGTATCAAATGTAAATACTCTAAATTATCGCTGGGGACTATTTCTTCGAATTTAATGAAACATGCATTAAGCATTGGCCATTTATATACGGATGAATATTTTCTTGATTGTAGTTATTATTTTTTAATAATATTGATAAGACATATTTTTTTAATATACGTACTTTACACATCATTTATTAATTAACTAATTTTGACGAATAACTTGCGTTAATAAATTATTTAATAATTCCTTTTTGTTGAAGTATGTAGGAATAACGCCGATTTCGTGAAATATCTGGTAAATTGCTAGTAAAATTTCCCCATACTAAGATACACAATATAATAAGAACATTGTAACAGTTTATCTAATATTGAAGCAGTTCAAACAATTCTAGCCCCTCCGCTGTGTACTATTCAATTGAACTTAACTTTCTCTACGTCGTCGTAAATCCTTAAAAGAAAAGGAAGAAAGAAAAACAAGAAATAAACGTAATAAAACACCGAACAATCGTAATGAAATCAAAAATTAAAAATAGAAAATACATCCGACGAGATCAAGTGATATTAACCATAGACAGAAAACTATTTTATTTAAATTTAATATATTCTTACATTTAATTAGATAACAAATTATACTTATATGAATGCATTCATATTACGTTTGAATATTTTTAAATTATATATTTAAAATGTACAAACCATTAAAGACTAATCTATTTAATTTAAAAATTATACTACGTCCATATCTTGTATATTATAAGTCATTTCTCGAGGTTGTCCAGTTGTGTATGATACCTTTCTAACTATACTTTATGATTTCTAATATTGATTCACACCTGCTATCAATACTTTAATTAAATTTATTTCCTATATATATGTAAAAAAAAAAAAAAAAAGTGTCATGCAACAAGTAATTCCTCAATCACAATGAAAGTAGGGCATACGGACGTTAATTAATGCATCACGCAGCTTCTCCCGTTTGAATTGAATGATTCTTAAGCCAAAACGTTCAAGGCCACTCGGAGACTCAAGGACTCAAGTATACAAAGAACAAGAAAATCACTGCGTACAGTGATTGCGCTAAAAGCCAAAGGACAAAATCCTTTCTTAGTCTTCGAGAAACAATGCAAGATAGATGCTAAGTTGTCTCCTTGAAACGGAGATAAACGCACCCGTCGTCTTCAACAATATTGATCCGTTGTCCACGTAGAGGACGATTAGCTGGTGGGAGGCGGGGGAGGTGGTGGCTGCGCAAGCAGGGTTGGCAAGGTCGTGAGGTCGATGCCCGGGGGCGCAGGTGCGGACTGCTGGGGTGGTGGGGGTACGGGCGCCGCCGGTGGCCAACCCATCTGTTGAGGTTGCTGAGGTGGACCCCAGCCCGGCGGCCCCTGGGGATATCCCGGTGGTGGTGCAGTACCCGGGGGTAGCGGCCGCATTGACTGCGGTGCCTGCTGATTTTGCTGGGGCTGTTGTTGCCAAGGTGGGATGCCCATTGCCGGTGGTGGTGGCTGCATCTGCGACTGTGGCATTTGCGAGGGTGGAGGTGGCGGCATCTGACCTTTTATACCAAGTGACCAAACTTGAATATATATTTACGTGTGGGTGCACGCTAATGCTTATCAGCAGTATACGATGACTTATCTTCGATTAATTCGATCAACGGTATTTATGTAATAAATATTTAGATAATAAAATAGTTTTTTTTATCTATGGGTTAACCGAGGCTAGACATGTCATCTTAAAAGCTCGTTTTATTGTTTTAACGTAATTTCATTATCAAACCTGGTGGTGGTGGTTGACCGCCTCCGGGTGCCATCCATGGCATTAGAGGTGGTATCGCGGGCGGTTGAGACGAAGCTCCGGGGGGTGGTGGAGGTGGTTGCATCACACCCGGTGGAGGTGGCATACTCACGGGCGGTTGACCCCACTGCATGTTCATATTATTCATGTTCATGTTATTCATATTATTCATGCTGTTCATATTGTTCATGCCATTCATATTGTTCATGTCTGGTTGAGACCATGGAGGCGGTGCCATTCCTGGAGGAGGAGGCATCATTGGTGGTGGTGGACCCGGTGGCATCATGTTCGGCGGTGGGTGGGCGGGTGTTGCCATCAATGCTCGTGGTGCTTGTTGCCTAAGAATCAATATACATTTAGTAAATTTCATTCTGATATCATCATCGGCAAACATAATTGTATCACACTGGAGATAACGCATGGTAACATAGAATTTTTGAGCATTTAGAATTTGGAAATGCAACAATTAACTTAGAAAAATTAATAAATGACAATGACAAATAATACATGTGTAAAATTAAACAAAGAAACGTGTGTGGTGTGCTCACGCACGACATATATTTATCTATATGTGTGTGTGTATACATATATATACACCCGCCGCAACATTAATGTATGGTCGACTAAAAGTGTATTTACTAAATTAATTTCACTTTCAATATTTTTCTTTTAATTATCCTCTTATCACTGAATTTTAATTGTTTATCATCAATTTAAATCTTAATACTTAATTAAAAGAATTTATTGTAATAGAACAAAATAAAATATTAATTGTTCTTTAAACTGGCATATACAACTATATTCCCATATTAACGTATGTATATATATATAAATTTCGAATATATCTTATATTGTGTCAGTGTATTATTTTTAAGCCATTAAAACATTATCGTTTCTTATAATAATTTTCGCTTGTAGCGATTTTTATTCCTTCTTTACCTATCGAAAAGTCCAGGATAATTGGGGTTCGAGCTGGAGTTGGATCGATTCTGGGTGCTATTGTTCTTCGAGCGGTCAGGAGGCGGACCCTCACCCAACTCAGCCATGAGTGACATATATTCTTCATCGATTTTAGCCTTATCGCCAGCTGGATTCATCCCAGCGGCTGCGGGACCTCCCATTCCCGGTCGCTTTGAACGGCAATCGCGAGCAATGTGTCCCGCGCCACCACAACTAGAGCACACGATATTGTTGGTGACATTGGGTTTATCAGGGCACAGCCATGACTTATGATCACTGGCCCCGCAATTTGTGCAACGGGGTCCATCGTTTTCACGCAGGGTTCCGTTTAAAAGTGCGAGTTCTCGCAGCTGATTTCGACGAAGATCGTTTTGTCCTTCTGGCACTTCCACACCTTGACGAATAATTTCATGAATCTGCGATAGATTACAAAATCATTAATGACATTTGACTCCTCGAGTATAGCTATTATCTCATCCCGTTCTTCTGAATTTGATTCTTAATGACCTTCGCTTAATCTTCGACGTTTGAGAATTTAAGTACAGTCAAGTGTTTAAAGCGAGAATTTAAAAAAAAATATCAGATTTAAATATTATTATTAAATAAAATATTATTAATTAATATATTTTATTTAAGCAATTGAGTTATGTAAAATAAAATTAATCATCAATAAAAAAGATGTATTAAACGTTAAAAAATTTTCTTGTTATATTTTTAAATACTTTGGATCATTTTGATTAAAGATATGAAGACTCGGACGTATCTCTAGTAATGCAATACTAACTCTGCCAACGGCTTTTTTCACTGCTTCGAGATTATTAGCAGTTATGTAAGCGTGTAGAGGTTCGTCCTCGCCAGGTAGTGGCTGTCCATCCTTTCGACCTACTTTACCTTCTTTAACGCTGCCTTTACCTCGTATTATAATCTTCGCACCCGTTTCTTTTTCCATGGCTAAAAAATTGTTTTATATTAGAAGACCTACAGATATAAATTAGTAAATTTATATTATCGATATTTATTGTTGTTTCTTATATTTACATTTTAAAGTATTTCCACGTGGTCCAATGAGTAGTCCTACAAAATTAATGTCAGGATGTTCCTCCTGAGGAATCATCACTTTATCGTGAACTCTAATGATCGGAGGCCTTAAAAGTAAAAAATGAAGAAAAAAATTAGCGAATAAAACACTTATTTTATGTATAAAGAATAAGATGGACAATAGCTTACTTGTAATCTGGTGGTGGCTTAAATTCGGGATTGATTTTTAAGATCTTCTGTATAAGATTTCGTCTAGTACGATATTCTCTCGTATTCAACCGTTTTCCATCGCTACTGTAAATTGGTTCGGGCGATGGAGATCTGAAAGAAAGAAAAACGTGTTTGGAAAATTGTTGTAAAAAAGATGTTACATGGGTTCAAGCAACCTGCTTCTAATTTTAAGTTGAAGAGTATTATTTTCTATTTTAATCTCCACATTAAGTACTTTTGCTACTTTTAATAATTATATAAATTTAAAAAATTTTTAAATAAAACGTCTAATAAAATTAGTTCTTTTATCTAAAAAGAATCTTTTAATTTTGTATTGAATTATTTCGAATTCGAGCATCGGATTATAATTTCCATCATATATATTATAATTATAATTTCCATCAGCCCATTAATATAAAATTATCCTAAGTATCTGCCATAAACAAGCTTAGCAGAAGTTGTGTCGGTTGTTTATTAATACTCGGTAACCAGTGAAGTCTGCAATGTTTGTGCAGACATGTTGCTCAGCTGCTAAAGTACTAAGAAAAAGTAAATCCTGTGATTATTAAGAAAAATTGTCTTTAAATTAGTATCGGCTGATTTCTCGTAATTGTGCAACGCAATGCTAAACTAAACAAACAATAATTATTAAAAACCTATTGGAATAATAAAATCTTTTCATTAATTGTAATTAAGGATTTATAAATTAATGTTGAACCTGAAAGTAACGTTAGCTTGAGCGGTTATACAACTGAAGATTTTGTTATAGAATAATTATTTTCCTGTAATATTAACCCGATAAAATAATTCCGTTAGTAAAGCCTATCTATGATTACACATTTTGTACATAGATTCAATAAAAAGTAGCTGAAAAAGGTTATTGATTTATTTATTATTAAGATTTCACTATTTAAATATATTGATTAAAATTTTTAAAATTTATGTAGGCTTGATTAATATTATACTACTCTGCTTTCATGAAGTTCATAGATTTTCTAAAAAAAAAAAAAAAAAAAAAAACAAAAAAAAAAGTAGAATCTATAGAATCTAGCAAATCGAACACTGCCAACATTTGATGAGATTTGAATTAACAAATTTTGTACATTATATAATTTATTTGTAAATGATACTTTTCTGCATTCAAACGTTTCCTTTAAAAATAATAAGTATTCATTTTTTAATTAAAAGTTATAAAATACAAACTTTTAGCTTATTTTATATTTACATTTCATAGCTTTCTGACCATTGAAAACAGGATTGATACAAATTTTTTGCAAAGCTTTATATCCCAAAACTTTTAGAAATTGAAGTTACAATTTTTCTCATTCCTAATTATTTCTTTGAACGATAAGTTTAATAATTTAAAAATGTATTTATAAAATATTATCAAAATATCCATAGTATATTTAGAAATGTACAATTTATATTGACAAAAATTTGTAAAAATCACTATTTTTACCAAAAACTTATGAAAATAAAAAATTCGCTATAAACTAGAAATTCATTAAAGTTAATTAATTATCGGTAAGTTCTTAAAATATTTTTACAAACTGTTCAAAGCTCATTAAAATATGTTCTTTATTGGCAAGGGTTGTCATTTTGAGAATTAATAAAAGAAATGGATTAGATCAAACCAATATTATCATTATTTATCTTCAATGATGTGTTGAGGCTTGAATATTTATTTTAGTCCTGGTTGAGAATAAATTTTTTTGAGTATTCCATATTAACTTGAACAGCATCAGTTAGAAAACTTTTTTAAGCCACTAAGCTGTTGGTTGCTGAATTGGTCAGTAGATAGGTAGATTTTGTGGATATAATGGTCATAATTGTTGATAGTTAAGTTTTGTTCAAACCTTTCCTCAGGATTAAGTGGTATTCCAAGATCTTCTGTGCGTCTCCTCAATCTGTAGTTGAACTGAAAACCAACGGATTAGAGGGGGGCAGAAACCCCAACAGTTAGACATATTGACAAATAAGCCATAAGACAACAAAGTACATGATTATTCTATATTAAAAAATAAAATTTTTTTGAGAAATGTAAACATGAGTATCTTATCTTAAACGAATAAATTTGTCCATTTTTCTTTTACATTACTTTACCTTACCTTTGTACATCAGCATAAAAACTTATCTTTATTTTAAGAATTAAAAATTTAGAAGCGCATACTTACATCCTAAAAGTTTTCTATATTTTTTCAAAATGAAATTTTTTAAATTTTGCGCATGATTTCAAAATGTTAAATAAATATTATTAAAATTTACCTTACAACTATTTATAACAATATTTTACATAGGATACTTACACAGGTAAGCCTTCTCCTGCTCAGGTGTAAGGTTGGTCGGCAGAACTGTTGGCTTTTTCGTGTTCGCTTCCTCCCCATCTAGATTTCCGACGCTTTCGACGTTCTTCTCGCGATTCCTTCTCCCTATCTGGAAAGGAAAATTTTATTTAAAATTTTATAAATTAAAATCATCTGCAGCATAATTTCTTTATCAAAATGCATCTGTCGGATACCATATTAAGATGCGTATGTGTCTGTCCATTATACATGTGATTTAGTTGATTATTGTGTTTATTTCAAATTGTGTACATTGTGATTATTTCAAATGAACTATCCGTATTAAACTAACCATGTAATAAAATACATATCGATTATTAAGTATATAGAGGATAATAAAAGGACGGTTGCTAAGCAACGCATAATTTTAATAAATAAATTAATTCAAACTTAAATGTACATATAAACTTCTGCATATAGTCAACATAGTAAAACATGTTATATATGTTGCTTGTAATATCATGATCTACGTTCTGCTTTAAACGATTACTTTGTGGTCTTGACAATAGTGCGTAAATGAAAATTAAAAGCAAACTTCATGCCCACGATACTCATATAAAGTCAATTGATTTATATTATTTAGAAAAATTTGTAAAAAAATTTTTTATTTTATAATTAGTAATAATAACTTCATAATCTTATATTAATTATATTTATATAATACAATTATTCATAATATTACATTAATATTATATTAGTTGTAATACCTCATAATATTATATTAATTACAAATATGAATAAAATAAAATAAATAGCAATAATTGAACATATATATATATATATATATATATATATATATATAGAGTAAATATAGCTGTAAATAAAAAATATATAATTTTTAATTTTCTAATCCGAATTTGTTAATTACATCAATATTTATTATTTTTTTTTAAGTTAATAATTATTCTTTTATTTTTTAATGATATTTTTTAATTAGCCAGATGTGACTTTTTTTGTAATTTACTTCGCAAAGGCTGTTATAATACCTTATAAGATTTTCTTTTCTTTCTCCTTTTTTGTATTTGATAGCTTTCAAATTTTTAGTAATTTATTACAACCTTTCAGTTTTATCGTTTGTTAACATAACAAGATAAAACGGTAATGTTCGGGCAGCGTACAAAGTGCGTTATTTTTTATCTGATATTCATTTAATTGGAATAGTCGATAAGTAAAATAAAATATGAAAATCATATCCAATTATATTCCTTTGGCAGTTGAATAAAAGTTTTTAGTATTCAATTATAGGTGCATATATACATACGATAGTACATGATTAACAAATTTTTATTACACGTTGAAAACAATGAAATTAAAGCCACAACAACTCTATTAATTAACAAATATTTTTAATTCACGTTTCATTAATACTTATTAAAATTATTTAATCCAAATTACAATAATACATTAATCACTTATAATCTACTCTTATTGCATGCAATATAAGTTTATTCAGCAGATATAATCAACTTACTCCACAACGAACAAACTTTATTGCAAACAATACTAGAGTAATTATTGCCATTAATAATGACTGCATAAAATTTTTTTTTATTCCAAAGTTGTAAAGGCTTTATTGGTTACACCGTAAACTTCTTACCTTATAAATCTCATTTGAAATAGAACAAATACACAAGTCTCAACAAAAGCAGCCCATACACTGCTCCAGTTGCATTAATCTGCTCCATAATGCTCGGATCAGATTAACTGCATCTTAAGCCAGTGTACATCAAAAATATTTGCACACAATCAAGGCTCAAAACTCAAAACAACCAGCAAAATACCTTAATATCAATAAACCCCATTGCGTATACACTGGTCATTCGAGTCGACTAGCATTTTCATACAGCCATAATGCACAGGGCTTGAGATAATTTGATAATTTAATGGACTTTTCAAATAAATTCAGATAAGAAAATCACCCGTATTTTATATTTTATATGAAGCCGTACCTAAGGTCACGAGACCTCGAGGATATCGATCGCGTGCGACCCTCTAATTTAACCTGACGAGAAAAAGTCGCTTACCCTCAGCCTCGCGCTTTTTGCTGGAAAGTGAACCGCTTAAGGCAGTGCCGTTGGCGATTGCCGCGGTAACTGCTGCCGCAGCTGCTGCTGCCGCTGCTGCCGCGCTCGACGGCACCGAGCTCTGGGCATTTTGCAGGTAGCTGGGGTTCAACAGGGATGTGAAGTTCCGCGATTGATTCATTTGAAGACTCTAGCGAAATTGGCTCCCGTGGACGATCGACGAGTGATGGGCGGCACTTTTAATAACGGGCGCCAGGCGACAGGATTGAGGGAAAAAAATGGCGACTGTCGCCTTCGGGACTGTGGTCGATGGTACAATGACGCGCACCAAGAGACGCGCACAATGACGGCGACGTCGATGGTGATGGCGACGGGTTGACGGGTTGACGGGGCGGCGGCGGCGGCGGCGGCGGTGGCGGCGGCGGCGGTAGCGGCGACGGCGACGGCGGTAGTGGCGACGATGACGACAACGACGACGATGGCGACGACGACAGCGGCGACGATGACGACGACGACAACGAAGACGATGAGGGCGACGATGAGGACGACGACGACGACGACGACGACGACGACGACGACGAGGATAATGGACGAACGAATTAATCAGCGATCCACTACCGTCTGCAACGACTCCGGAACACAATCAGCAATGGCGATTTACAATGCACCGCCGTGGATGACCACCCACGCATGACGTCAACGGCGTGCTTTTCCGCAATGCGCGCGCATCCCGGAGAGCCGAAGAGCGTTTATATTTGAAATTTTTGGCTTATTCGTGTTCATTTACCGGAGGAAAATCCATTACCAAATAGAATTTCTCCATTTCAAGTAAATTCCTCTCTGGATTTAAATGACCTAATTTTTTCGATTTTCAGTAAAAAAATGATTATTGAAAATAAAATCATTATCCGCGATTTATGGAAAATTTGTGGAATATGGATGTGCCATATATTTCTAAAGTTGGCATACAGATTTATTTAAAAATAAAATTGATAAAAAATGTGATAAGTGAATCCGAAAAAGTATTTTGATTCATTTCCATTTTATAGGCCCCAAATAAAGAATAAATCGCTAAAACGTGGAATAATAATATTCAATTGTCATGATTGATTTATAAAATTTTGGAATACTGTTCGGAATACATTTAAGAATTTAATTTCCATATATTATTGCAAATTGAGGACTTATTTTTAATACTAATCTGAAAAATGTTTTCAATTTTTATAAGTAATTTATTGTCATTGCCATTGAACAAGTATTCATGATTCTTTAAATCATTAGATATTAATTGAGATTTTCAAATTATTACGTACTAAAAAGTTAAAGGCATTTAAACATTATAGATGGAATGAAAATTTTTTACATTATAAATGTCAAATGATATCAGCTTATGAAAATATAATTTTTTGCATTGCATGGAATTTTCAATAATAAAAGGATAAATCGTAAGTCCTTTGGCACATATTAACTTAATCCTTTTTTTTTCTTTTTTATATTTTATTATTTTTTATGCTAATTAATAAGTGTAAGTTTGAAGCGATTGGTATTTGAAGAAAATTAACCGGGAAATTGGATACTATTTCAAAAAAATTAAAATTAATTGTCTCGTTTTAATAAAACGACTTATATAAAAATTAATTAGGTAAAGTTTGTTTGAACGTTTAATTTAGCCTTTCTTTATATCGAATTTATCAAAAAGAATTATATTACACAAATTATCAAAATAACCGTAAGTAAACGGTGATTATTAAAATAAATGCTAAAATTAATGTTTATTCCTAATGGATAAACTAAATAGATACTAAATTTGATGTTAAGACGTTCCTTTGAAAGTAAAAGTAAAAAAGTTATAAAATGTGCTTTGTTTTATTGTATATTTTTATAGCTTTTTTAATTTATCAAAGTACATCACGTTTTATGCTAATTTTACAAAAGAAACCTCCAATTTTTTCAATTTTTAACAGAAAAACTATAGTGTTAAAAAAAATATATAAATTTTATTAATATAACACTAGTGATCTCTTACACTATCACAAGTATCTGATGATGAAAAACTCTTCAATCTCAAATGGCAAATATCTTCTAATAGAAGAAAATATTTCATTAAAAGCAATCACAAATTATTCTTACAGTAATACTGTCTAATTTTCAATGTACAATGAAGATTTTATAAGATTTATCCATCTTAAAATAGATTTTTTTTTATTTTTTTTATTTTTGTTTTTTTTTTTTGTCTTTTTTTTGTTTCAATAATGTGGTTTTCGATATATTTGCAAAATTTTACTAATTGTTTCAAACTAATTGATATGACGTCGAGTCAGTTCCAATGATGATTCTCAATGGAAAGAACATTAATGCACATTTCCATTAATTATTAGTTTTAAACTCTATTCAGAATAGTTTTAAATTGAATACAAGTTTTTGGTCCGATTTTTCGTTGAATCAACTAATGTAGCGTCGATAAAGAGCATGTTCGCAGACTTTTATTAATTTTAACAATTCTTATATATATCACTTGGCTTATAAATTCTGTAAGGTAACTACAGAAGAAAAATTTGATTCCCTTTATCACTTAACGATAACGATCGTTTTCTTAAAACTAGAGTTGTAAATTTAACATTACGTTTCTTCTGCTTTCTAATCGTATATATCTCGATTCATATATATATATATATATATATATATATATATATATATATAGATATAATTACGTAATAAGATAATTATGGAAGCACTTTTTCAAAGTCGCATGCAACTTAGTTTAAAAAACTTGATATACACCATGAGCTATGTCAATTCATCAGTGCATTGCTTTCTTTCTTCCTCTACTCTTTGTCTCGTGCGATTAAAAGCTTCAGTTTTTAGAAAATCAACGGTTTTGTAAACGGTGGTAGCCAGAGGAGATTGTGGAGTTTGTAAAGTTGGATTATTTAAGCTTTCGGATGTTTCTAAATCTAAGTCTAAGTATTGCAAGACTAATAAACGACGATTTGATGCTGGTATAAAAGTATCGTTGTCTTGGTAGAAATATATCTGTAAATAAAAATGCTAATAAATTTACATCTTTGTCTATAATTTTGGTAAAAATATTATATAATTTATTTACATCTTCTTTTTCTTCAAATGCATTATTATCATCGTCAGAAATGGATGGATGATGACTTTTTTGCATTTTCGACATTAAAATGGGACTAGGAATTGATTTGATTTTCCCTTTTCCAGGCGGTGTCGTAAGTTGTAATAAATCTAAAATAATATATTTTATCATTGAAAAATGCAGTTGAATTTATCAGGATAATTTACATTATTTAATTTTAATAAATTATTCTAACTAATGCGACGTTTTCAATTGGGTGAAACGGATGATTTTATTTTCTTTTACCTTCAACGGGTGGTTTGATCATAACTGGCTTTAGCTTTCTATTTATACTTGGTGGCTCGATGTTTATTTGTTCGGTGCAGTTTGCATCCTTGTTAATTACAGTGGGTGATAACTCATTACTAACATTCGAATCACTAGTTTTTCTTCCAGGTTTCAATTCTCGGTACACCAATGGAGGTGGTGGAGGTGGCACAATTATTACAGGCACGCTATTCATATTATCCTTATTCAAAGGACTCGAAAGATTTGAGTATGTGGCTGTCGATGCATTCTCCGAGTTCACTTGATCATTATTATCGAAATCGTAACGGAATACATGATCGTCTGCATTAGAAGAATTTGCATTGGTACTTTGTTGTTTCTGTGGTTTATTGGCTATATTTGTGTCTGTTTTAGCTGTTATTTGACGAGATTTTGACGAGCCACCTTTAAAGATACCAAAAGAAATAAAGAAAAAAAAACAAGCAAACAAACAAATAAATATTAAGAATTGATTTTTGAAAATTTAATACTTTTGAACGAAGGTGGCAATAATTTGATTATTTTTGTATTGTGATATTGGTATTAACCTGAATTATTGAGATCGTTAGTTGTAACTGATTGTGCAGGAGTCGAAGGAGTCGTTGGCTTTGAACTTTCAGTCGCACCATCCAAATTTAAATAATTATGACCAGGACATTCCGTAACCATGTGCGATGGCTTTGGCGGTCGTGGTGGAATTGCTATTTCATCCGCATTCGGCGGCTTATTCGAATCAACGATCCTCAATTTTCCAAATCTTTTTTTTACGCTCCATGAACCAATTCCTGCATTACTTGGTTTAAGATCACCTGTGCAGTAGCATGAAAATTCATTTACATTTGAATTTGAAATATTTTTGACATAACGACTTATCATGGATTATAATAATATCGTGATATTATACCAGCAACGGGAAATGTATCCCAATTAACATTAGGTAGAGAAGAAATCCATTCGTCATCGGTGACAACACTTTCGGCATCCGTTGTTGGGGAACGTGGAGGAGATGGCACTAATCGTTTTGTGGCATCGTAACTGTCAATGGCTTGCACTGTTACCGAACTTAGAGAGCTTGCATCATTGAGACGCGGCCCAGAAATACATTCGCTTATAGGAATGTACGGTCCGGACATTATACTGGTGGGCGAAATGGGTGGAGATTCTTGCGATTCAAACGAGAAAACTGTAAAATTACAAATTAAATGTATCAGGACTCGTTGTTGTGGACCTTTGCACAAAAGTTCTAAGAATTAATAATTCGCCGAATTACTTTGGCATTGTTGATCTTCGTCTTGAGTATATGCCTTTAATCCACAGACTTGGCATATCGCATCCACCCATTTATTCATATCAATCTCATTTTCCGCTACTAGATAGTAAATTCTTTTTGGAGTTTTAACATTAAACATATACTGATACTTTTCCTTTCGATTTTCAAAGCTTAATCCCGCATCGACCTGGAATACATTACAAAAATGACGTTTGCCTTCTTCCGCTCCAATCGACGTTCCATTAACAATTAAAGCAATAATTACCTGCTCGCATTGATCGAGATCGATCCTACCTTTAAGTTTCCTACATCTTCTGTCGGTATAATATTCTAAAAAATATTGCCCAGGTAATTCGCCACTATGTCGAAGTGTGAACCATCTTTGCCTCCATCTCTGCAGAGTAAGAATAAAGGGAAAAAAATGTCAATTGAAATTCAAAACCAAGGACCTTGAATAAACAACAACAATGAATTACTAAAGGCAAATACATTATGTATAATTACATAATAAAAAATAGCTGCGTATAACGTAAAGGTTGAAGAATATCGCAGAAACGATTACGACGACTACGGGATGTCTAAAATAAAAAAAAGGAGTTGATTGGACGACGATGTAGCGCAACGAGATGCATAGCCGCCAAGCGTAATACAATAATTTAAATCGAGCCTCCCGCATTCGCTTTCGCTACGAACGTACGCGTGAGCGCAATCGCAAATTCAAGGTAATGAAAGTAGAAAAAGGCGTACGGCTCGAGGGGAGCGTACGATAATAAATAGACGGCGATGCATTGTCAAGTACCGAGAGGTTCATAACCTCACAGATCGAGAATCGAGGTCCATCACCATCGCGAGCAGAGAAGAGCCACGCCATTGCGTATTGCCCCCAGACGTTAAAAATGCTGCCCAAACGAGTAGTCCTCCTTCATTATTATAGGCGCGTGTGGCGCGTGAATCGAGGGGGACGCGTCCGACGACAACAGACACCCACGCGGACCCGCGGGCGCCGTTATGCCATCGGCACGACGCCAAAAGTGCAAGTGGACCGATCGAGCTCGCGGTCGAAAAGCCACTTACCGCCTTCCAAAGTTTCGTGGGCGGCGATTTGATGAGCCAGCCCTCGTGCACGACCTCCTGGTTCGGCTTCAGCGCGTCCATCCTCGCGTGCAGACCGCGATGCCTAGCGGAGCCGAGTACTCTGTCCACGGGGCCTCCTCATCGCCTTTGCCGACGGTCGCAGAAATTAATCGAAAAGCTAACCCACGGCAGCTGCAACTCCCAATGACGATGTGTGTCGCTGATTCTCTGGCGTGTCAGCTGAGGCTATCGAACCTACCATCACTCTCCTTCTCGGCTCTCGTAGTTTCTCCTCTTTTATTTCCTCTCGCTGGCTGCTCGTCCTCTCTCGTTCTATTCTCTATATACTGTCTGTTGCTATACGTACTGTAACGCGCATATAGTGCTTACTCTCTTTCTTCGTTTGTTTGGGAACTGAGATAAGTGAATGGTTAAGTTATTTTTTTTTTCTTTTTTTTCTTTTTTTTTCATTTTTTATGCATCTATGGTTGTCGATTGCTTCGTTCGACTACATTCCTCCACTACTAGTTTTCATATTTTATTTTATTCTTTATGTATTTCAGTAATGCACTGCTTGTATGAAACGAAAATGAGAGTAAAAATTATTGTGCAGTAGTCGTGTTATCAATATACAATTAATTGATTTAATAGCCCATGACTTTAAATGCATTTTAACGTCACGATGTGCATTAATATGTATGTCGAGAGCTTCGAAAGTTCAAATTGAAAGTAAATACAAAATACAATGACACGATGTTCACTGGCTTATTGAAAGTGCAAATGCATTTGTGACGCCCGTTCCTTTAACCAGAATATATGTAAACCGAAAAATTAAATAATGTGTCGAGCAATGCGGTCGTATTATGAATTAAATGGCACTTAATTAGCCACGGAATACCACGGAGAACAAATTTAAATCAATTGCTTGGAATTGTTGAATAACCGTTTTAAAAGAGCGCGTTCATATTTATAAATATAATCTTGTGTAATTATTTAAAGAGCTGTTAAATACTTTTTTAATAAATAAGAAAACAAAAATTAAATTTACGCGTCATTATATCAATTATACGCTTCAAATGTAAAGATAATTGGTTTTTCTTAAGAAAAAATTTTTAATTTACACTCTTTATTTACGAAGGATAGTTTATACAAATTAATAAGGATGTTTTTTTTGTTTTTTTTTTTTTGTATTTTTTTTTTTTGTTTTTTTTTTTTGTTTTTTTAATTATAATCTAGTAATTTATATCGATATGTATGAAAGCAAACTATAATAATATATTTGTATATATATATATCCTTTTGTACTTATTATTAGTGTATATTTTCATCAATATTATAAATAATTTTAAATAAATACAAGGGTTTCGTTAGCTCTATCCTCTTAATTATTTATGCATTACATTCCAATAAATATTTAGTGTGATTTTGACGTAAAATTAAATATTATGTTTCATCTTATAAATCATTATACTGTTTTCTACTACTATAATCTTACTTTTTATTTTTTTTTTTTTTTTTTTTTTTTTTTTTTTTTTTATTTTTTATTTACGATAGCTAAAAATTACTATGACAATTATAGAGAAAACTGCATCATTAGCTAAAAACTATTTAATACATTTAATAATGAATATTTATTAAATAATAAATATTTGTACAAACGTTACTCAAATTTTATTGTCGTTGGCTCGGAATTCAATTAATTTCATTAAAATTCAAACAAAAAATTTACTTTTTATAATATTATATATAATATTATCGATGATTTTAAGTATATTTAAGAATAATTGCTATTGCAAATACATAAACGAAACGATTAGTTTTAACATATTTTAAAACTAAACTAAAAACACAAAAAGAAACTGCAGACAATTAAGAAAATTAAGAAAATTCTTTGTGGTAATTAAAAGTAATTGTTCATTAATTATTTTTAAGCATTCCTTTTGCAAATAATTTCCTTAAGCTTTATCGTCAGAAATGCTTGAACATTTCTTTTAATTTTTCGTGTAAAATCAAAGCCGTACACATGCGCGGATAGAGACGCTTTGTGCGATTTTTGTTTCTTAAGTCAAATAAACGATTCGATTACAAAATAATTGTCCTACATACACACCATACCAAGTAGCTTATAGAAAAGAAAGCTTTAGGAGAGGTGAGATGAGCCTTTAAATGAAACTATTAAAATAATTATTATTAAAATCGTCGATCGATGAAAAAACGCAATTGCTTTAAAAGTTGCCAAATATTCTAACGGAACAAGAACGTTTTACCAAACAAAAATAGGTAAATAATCTGAATAATATTTTTATTATCCACTCATCATACGGGCAAATTAAACCTTAATATTGCGTTGGGTGAAGAGCAGAATTGGCTGGCTGCGGTAAGGCTGTGTGTGGTAAGGAAAAACTTGGGAAAAAAGTGGGAAAAAGTGGGCTCGATGAAGGCAGGCAGACGTAAAGCGTGGCGCCCTCCAGGCGATATACGAAAACTGAAAAATCATTGCAAGTACCTGGCACGCATAACCTTATATAGAAGTAGTTGTCGTAGCGGTTAGTCGTGTTGTGTTGTGTTGTTGATGGTGCCGCAGCAATGGGATCTTGATCGAATGGCAATGAAAATCGAAAGCTGTACGGCATTGACTTCTCCTAAATAAGGGCATATATACGAATAAGATTATTGTTCGTGCGGCATGCGACGTGATCGTCTTCGCGAGCCGCCTTAATTTCCTTCTTCGTGAGTATACAGCAGAGTGGTGGTGCAGCTCTTCTGTATGGAGCTTTTTTTTATTCGTTTATTTATGAATCGCGACTTCCTTTTGTTTACTTTTTTAATAAGGCGCGCTGCTCGGACTTTTAGGGGCTAGTGGATAGTTTGTTGGATATTTTCATGCCAAACTCATCATGGTCCGCGTGATAAGCCAAGAGACGTACGACGAGGTGGTTAAAGAAAATATCGAGGAATTTTCAATGTCACCGGAGGAAGCGATTAAAGATGCCGTTGAACAATTCAATGCACAAGTGAGTAAAGTAACATGGCAAATTTATCTCTGGTTAATAATTTTTTATTTCGCTAATTGCAGCCAATGGGAATTCGATCTTATTGGTATTGAGTGCATTCGTTGGAATGTTTTTCGAATAGAAAAAAATTTGTATTTATAATTGAGAATAACAAGTAAATAAATAAATAAAAGGCACTTTTTGCGATAAAGTATGTGTAAATTAATATAGGCAAGAAGCAAAATTAACATAGGCAAAATAAATCGTACTAAATTTTCTCGCTTGTTTTATATTACCACGAAATTCATTAATACATTGTTATTTTAATTTTAGGGTGTCGACTTAACGAATATTATAAAAGATTTAGCATTGAATGACAGTACGGATGATATTATATCTTCGATAAAAAAACTTTCGGAATATTCTACAGCTGCCGAATGTAAACACATGACTATAATTCTTAATACTCTTATGTCAGAGCTAGAAAAAGATATTGCTCGGAGAGTTTTTGCAGGAAAAAATGGAGCCTACACCACGTTACTTCAAGTACTGACTAATTTTAAGGATAAGCCAATTATCGTACAAACAGCGTTAAAAACAATTACGATACTTATGACTGGAAATCCTGATTTGTTGGACGAGGCTGGAGTAAATCTTCAAAAGAGGTTTTTTTTATTATTTACATTAATTTTTAAGAATAAGCTTACTTATTATTTTAACGCAAGTTTTTTCATTTAGTTTATTAGAAGCTCCTAACAATGATTCGCAAACATTACATTTAGTATTAAAATGGATACGAGAGTGTTGTATCAAGCATGAAATGAATAGACAGCAGATTTTTAACGCAGGAATCCTAAATAATTTAAAATTAGAGTTAAGTAAAAAAGATGCAAACATGTCAATCGTTAAGGAAGTATGTCTTGTATTGAGAGCTTTAACTTTGGATGATGATATAAGACACGAATATGGAAAAGCACATGAACATGCGACAACCATTGCCCGACAAATATTACACACACTTACAAAATTACTATCAAGTATATTTAAGTTTGAAACTTCTATATAATATTTAGTATTCTAAATAATAAACCCTTATTTGCATCGTAATAAAAGACATTCTTTACAAGGAATTTCTTTCGTAAAAAATGTCTTATCGATTAACAATGATCTTTCATAATGAAATATAAAATTATTTTTGCATTTTCCAGTTTACAAGTCTAATGAAGTAATAGTTGGTGAAATAATGCTAACGTTAGCATCTTTGATAGTGAGGAATGAATTTTGCCAAGATTTTGAAGATGCTAAAGGAATACAATTTATTTTAGATGTATTTACAAATTTTCCTGAAGTTGAAAAAATAAATTGGCAAGCCCTAAAATTACTTAAAAGCTTAGCAGGCAATGACGATGTAAAAGCTCACATTATTACTTCAGGAATAGCTCCATTAATAATATATGCTATAAGCAGATTAAGGGTACGCATATAATATCACTATAATCCAAAAGTATACTCCGGATGGTTAATATAAAAACTTGCAAAATTTTATTTGCTAACAAATATTTTCAGAAATATCGAACGTACTCATTCGAATTACTATTGCCATTTAAGTAATTTTCATAAAAATATAATAATAATAAAATTATCACGCCCTTTAAATTATTTAAAATTATTTGAAGATAATGAAGGGAAAAATTGATAAAAAGAAATGATTCATTATATATTATTGATTTTCTCCATACATTATTATTTTATTTACAGAGTTCAGAAGCTGTAGTTACAGCTGGACTTGCTTGTATATCAGCGTTAACATTAAAAAGTCCTTCAAATGCTGGTGTTTTCTACGACTGTGGGGCAGTATCAATTATTATTGATGCGATTAAAGCTTATCTTAAATGTGCTAATGTAATTCAGCAAGCCTCTTGGGCAGTTAGAAATATGTCGGTTCGAAATACATATGAATCAAAAGAATTTATAGCTTATGGTATTGAAGAATTATTTAACCAGGCACTTAGAATTCATGGGCAAAATTTAGAGGACGACATCAAAGCAGCTTTAAGAGATTTAGGTTTAAAAGTAAATTTAAAGGAACAATGGACTGGGAAAGGTTGTGTATTAACACACGAATAACAAAATTTACTTTTATAAATAAAAATCTTTAAGATATTAAATTAACATTGTTAACGTTGAAGAGCAATTATTTTGATTCGTTTAAACAAAAGGTATTTTATAATTAATTAAATTAATTGCCGCCAGATTTTACAATTTATCATTTTTATAAATAAAGCATAAAGCTAAACACACTTTAATGTTTTCAATTTCTCCCTCTTCTGCAGTATTTTTCTTTCTGTATGAGTAAATGTATTTAACTGGATACACTTGTTTGTGGCTGATTAGTGACAAAAACGTATAAAAATACCATATCTTGTAAAAAGTTGATACAGGACTTGACGACAACAATGAAATATACGTTACTTCAAATTGATCTTTGCTCGTAAAGAACTTAACGGCAAAAGCTTTTTTCATTGTAGCTATAACTGTATAAAAGTGTTTTCTGTAAATATTAAATTCATCAGTGTATGGCTACCAGTCCTGATTCCAATAGCTTATTAAGTTTTGCTGCTATATCGGGATTCTTTAGATGACTGCAATTTAAAAATATTTAAACATTATCTTGGTCTTATCGTGATGATATTTTGCAATATTTATTAAAGATAAGAAACTTAAATTTAATTATATATAATTATATGGAAATTAAATTTTTCTATTAAATTTTATCATATATATTTATATTTTTTTATCTTCAATAACAGGCGTACATTCACCTTCGCTACGCATTAATTAATTTTTACATTGAAATATTAACAAACATTTATGAAGTTTGTTATTTTAAAATTTACCTGTTCTTAAAAAATTGACTAGTATCGTGTAAGGAAAAGAAAATTTTACTTACTCTTGTAAAGCTTTAGGGTCACTTTGCATTTGTTCCAAAATGATTCTCATAGCAGGATCTCTGAGAATACTTTGAACTTCTGGATCAGCCATTGCTCTCTTTCTTACTTCTTCGGGATTGGAACTTACAGCGACTGAACATGAACGATAACCTTCGAGGGCTTCGACATTACTTGGATCCAAATCTAATGCTTTTTGATATGCTGTTATTGCCTTTCCTTGTTGTTGCATACCTTGAAGAATCTTGCCCTTTCTTATCCAACCTTTTATAAACTTTGGATCTATCTCTACACATTTTTGACAATCCTTTAAACCTAAGTCAAATGCAGCTAATTTTGTGTAACACGCTGCTCTGTTACTGTAGTATTTTGAATCATCTGGATTTCTCAGAATTGCCTCTGAATAATGTTTAACAGCAGTGGCATAATCACCTTCCTTGAACTTTTGATTTCCCAATTTATTTTCTGTCTCTGCTTTTACAGGATCGATATATGCTTTTCTCTCATCTTCTTTAATTGTTTTCTCAATCTCGGAAAGCAAGGTCTTAATTTCTGGTGTTCGATGTTCTGACATTGACTTCTCGTAATAAACTTTAGCCTGTTTTAAATTGTCCATTTTTTTATGAGAATGACCAATTCTTGTGAAAGCTTTTGCTATGAGTTTGAAATCAGCTCGGTTTTCTCTACCAATATCAATAGCCTTTTCACATTGTGCTATACATGCGTTGTATTCTTTCTGTTCAAAGTAAACTGCAGCTATGTTTAAATAGTACATAATTTCTAAGGGGTCCAATTCAACAGCTTTGTTGTAGTGTTTTAAAGCTTCTTCAAAGTTTTTCTTCTTATACGCTACATTTCCTAAATTCTTTTCATCTAAAGCTTCCTTCCTTTCTGGTAGAATATCTTCGGATTTTGATTCTGATTCTTTCTTCTTTTCTTGTGGTGGGTCGACATCCATTTTTTCAGTTTTATTATCACGCATTCCTAAGGCTACGCTAAGAGCCGCAAGTACTCTTGAATCTTGAACATGATTACCTTAAAAATATAACGTTGATATGATTTTTCTGTAGTATATATATGATAAAAAATTATGTAAATAAACAAAGGGCCAAAGACGAGGGACAATTATAAGAGAGACCAATTATTAGCTCAAATTTTTTGCATGCCATAAAATACAGAAGAAAAAAAAAGAAAAAAAAAAGAAAAATATAAAAATTATATATATTTTACACTATGGTAATACAAGTTACCTGAAAGTTCGGGACTAGTCTTCAAATCATCCATAAGTTTCACAAACTCAGGATCTTCATAATAAGCTTTAAGTCGAGAGTCATATTTTAGATAATCTAGATCTTGATGCAGGACTGGATTTGAAAAACGTAGCGACGAATTAATTCCTTGAGCACCGGCTTTAAGCTGTTCGTTATCCGGCTCTACCAACAGTCCAATTTTACACGTCGAAACAGATTCATCCGTTCTTCCTAATTGAGATAAAGCGTGAGCTTTCCTAACGTACCCCCTACCCCAATCAGGCTTAAGCGATACCGTCTTCTCTGCGTCTTCAAGAGCTTTGGTGTATTGGCATTCTTTTGCGTAAGCAGCCGAACGATTACTATATAATATATGATTATTTGGATCTAATTCTATGGCTTGTGAGTAAAAATCGATCGCTTCTTCGATCTTTCCCTCTTTTAAGGCTGCATTTCCTTTGTCCTTCAATGTGGATACCTTGAAAAAAGAATAGACACCATAAGACCGTTATATTACAATTAAATATATTTCTTGTAAGACTGTAGCATAAAATGTAATATTTAAAATTTATATAAATTTTTTATATATTTACTTATATATAAAATTAATTTTACATATATTTTTATTTAATTATTTATATAAATTTATAATACTTAAAGTTTTAAATTTATTTCTCAAGTTTTTTCATAAATCTCTTCATCGTCCAAAAGTTGATCATTAGAATGAAAAACTTTGTAAATCACTGTTTCATCGATATTGCTTTGATTAATTTTTGTAAAAATTATAAAACATAATTCATCGACAATTATTGTCAAACTATAAATGCTCAAATATGTTTAATATACATTAATTGTAAATATTAATTTGTATCGACATTGATCTACATTTTATTTTAATGTGTAATGCAATTTATTTATAAAAAAAAAAAAATCTCAACTACATGCACACATTACACTCCTAATTATTAGGATAAGTACCCTTTGACTTGGCAGTTCTCAAGTACTTCAATTCGCATTCGGAATTATGATCTTTCACGCAGACACCTTAAATTAAATGGCAAAATTCAAATAAAATAAGCTAAAAAATACATCATTGTCGGCGAATTTAACCCAAGAACTTTATATAAAAGCAAGCACTCGAACGAAATAAAAATAATTTCTAGAAACGCAACGTGCTTCCCTTACTTCCGAACGATACTAACAAATCACAGAAAGCTAGATTTACTCACCTGATCCATAACTTGCCACGAGGTTTAAAATTTGTACAATCAAACAAACTAGTCTTCTAGCATAAAAAAAAAAAACTATATCGATTCGTCTTGTAAAATATCTACGATCAATTACAACTATCTCTTCCTCCTTAGCAGTTTATAGCAATTCGAGAAATTGATGGCGGCGGCGGCGAGTCCGGCGAATCGTCCTACAATTTTTGGAAAGCTCGAGAAGCCTAAGAGGTTGCAATAAAGAGATGAAAACCGTGATTATACACTAGAAATCACTTTACAGCTTGAAGTCAACTGCCTTACTTACTTTCGTCGTGCTCGGCATCGGACGTACAACTAGATTGTGGATCGTGAAATGGAACGCAAATGATGGGTTTGGCGCAGGCGCGGGCACTTGGCATTGCGAATTCTCGAATATTCCAGAACTATTGCCGAAGAAGGTTCGTGACGTTCCGAACACTCACTCGTCCTCATTGATTAAGTCTGTTTTATTAGAAGCTGGAGCCAATGGGCCGAGGGAAGATGGAAGATGGATAGGGAAAGGATGAGGGACGAGTGCTGGGTAGGAGGGAAGCAGGAAAAATGTAAAAATTTCGATTTTGTCGCGATGGAAGTAATTGGCCTTTTTACGATTAAGATGATAGAATAGGGATAATGTTGTGGTACTGTGCATTTGTCGTCCCTTATGCTTGATAACAGCATGTTTTAGGAAAAAATTGTATGGAAAATATTTTGTTTTCTCAGGGTATTAGCGATTTTTGCAGCGCCGAGGTATTTTAAAAGTTGGCTCGTTCGAAAATTACTCACGAATCTCATTTACTTCGGTAATATATGCCATACAATATTTTACATTGGTTATTCCATTGATACCGATTACACGGAATCTAATGTTTCTTTATGCTACTTAATCGTGCAAAGAAATTTCACATTTGTAGCTGCAAAATCTTTCTTTCCTAAACAATTTAAAAAGAAAAGCTATTATTGTTAATACATTCAAATGGTGTTACTAAACAATATTAAATATAGAGTAAATAAAATTCACTGTCTCGTTCTCAAATAATTAAGAAAAAAATTCTCTTATTTTTCTGTTTTCGATTCGACAGTTTAATTATATGAATAATTTTTATAAATTACAAAATTCCGGAAACGTTCGCGTTTTACATAGTCTCGAGTGGTGGGTTACACGTTTCGATCGAATATACGTTGACGAATTCTAAAATGTAATCTAAATATCTAATTATTAGTCGATTGCGATCAGAATCAACTTAACGGCCAATCGTAATAAATCGAATGAAAAAAAACGTTGGACGATTGTGCGTGGATAAAAAATGCGCGAATTTTCTTTTTCGTTTATCGTCTTCTCTCGCACGCGCACATATAAAAACTTTTCAATATATTTTTCTATAAAAATAAGGCATTTCGTTCGCTTATTATTCATTCGCTCGCTTTCGCCTATACTCGCGAAATATTCGCAAAACCAATAAAATAAATATTTTTTACTTCTATTTTTAAAATTTTTAATTTTGTACGTTTTTTTTTTTTAAACTCAATTTAATATAATGAGTTAGAATTTTGCATAAAAAGGATAAACAACAACGTTATAAATTATAAGACTTTAATAATGTGAAAATACAAATATATACAATTATATAAATAAAATTATATCATTATTAAGAATAATTAGTGAAAGAAGTTGTTTGCAGTGGACTTAATTTAAGAGCTAATCGACGATAATTGTTCTAGAGCACATCGAGGACTTAGTTTACAAATTCAAATTAGGTTGGATTGTTTGTTAAAAATTATAAAAATTTTACACAAGACAGAGTCGAAACTAAAGACCCATAATTCGAAGAATGGAGTTTGCAGCGGAAATCATCGTGTAAACTCTCGCCATTTACTCAATCATTATTATATTGAATATAACAACAACAACAACAACAACAACAACAACAACAATAATAATAATAGTAAAATTGTTAATGAAGAAATTGACGCGGAAGAGAATATTCTTTAAATAAGAATATGTATATATATATATATATATATATATATATATATATATTGGTTTGATTTAATCAACATTTCATGAATAAATATTAAGTAATAAATATGTAATCCTTCTATGGGGTTCGAGCTTTCTTTATTTTTTACTCTTTTACTTTACCACGAACGACCATGAATTATTAAGTAATAATAAAACAGTATCGCATTGTACGAAAAGATCAGGTAAATTTGGAGACACTTTTGTTTTCATTTTCATGAACAATTTAGGAGAATTAATGTGCTTTTATGAACGATAATTATTATAATAACAATGATAAAATTTCATTATTTTCGCATGAAAATATACACCCCATTATAGTTGTAAAGTTTCTAATTAATGTAAAATTGGTCAGAAAATAAGCAATCTTAAGTCACGATATATTTACATTCTTATTGTAAAGCTATCGATCTCAAAAATAGGAATATTTTACCTTTTATCTATTTGGCAACTAGCCAAAAGTCGGCGCAGATACTAATAAATGCGAATGATATATGTGTAAGTCTGGTTTAAGTTGGGTATTTAATTTTTTTTATTATTATTTTTTTTTTTTTTTTTTTTTATAAATATTTTTTTAAAATCATCCAATGTATTACCTTTAAATTAGCATAATATAGTCGGATTTGCAAATTCGATAATGTAGCTTGACATTGTTTCATCGAGCTTACTACTGTAACCGAATTGGTGATTCCTCTTTCTGAAAGCATCGACTGTAAATATGCTAACTATATCTAGTTAATAACTTATAACAGGAACAATTGTATTCGATTCGGAAATGCACGCGACGTTATAACCGCCTCGAAATACAATATTAAATTTCCAACATTAATATGCACAAGACACGGAAGAGTTTCTACAATATCTTTTTGGCAAATGGAATTTACAAATTCATTGGTCGGGTTTTAATATTACTTATTATGCCTTTGTCCTGTTGCAAGTATCGTATGATTGTTACGCTGTGTCATGTTCATAATTCTGTTGTAACACTGACGTTATAATTTAACACATTGAAATAATGATACGATTAATAATAAGAGAATATAGTTACAAAGTTGCTTTTTCAGATTTTAATATTAAATTTTAAAATTTTATTGTCCCTCGTCCTTAGGAAATAACGATACAAATAAGCAAGTTAACTTTTTTACTTTTATATTTTTACTTAGTACATTAGCGCCTCGTCTTACAAAATTCCAAACGTGTAATGTAACTGATAATTACAACTGCACAGCTGATTCTGAGAGCAATATTTAGAGTTTCAAAGACGATTGTGACTTTTGACCAAAGAAATTTTCGTACTTCCCATGATAAAGTACCGAGTCTACTGATATTCAAAATATCAAAATGAATAATTGACGTACGGGGGTTTACAACTAACTGTTTACACAATTAATTAGAAAAAATTCCAACAATAACAACATCAGCTATTAAAATTAGCACTATTCTAAACAGCAGATAAGTAGATATATATCTCTCTCTTGCTTAGAAAAAGATGTCTTCCCGTCGGAATTTGTCTAAGAGCTGTGAGGTTGAAACGAAACGTTCATCTAAATTTTGAAAATTTATTTCTAAGGATTTTCTCATTCTTCCAGTCACACGAGATAAAATAATAATAATGTATTAGCCTGCTTACGAAGAAGGAATTATCTTATGTGCTTTGGAAATGCGAAAGATCGAACGATTCGTTTTCACGGCCATTACAATGCAAATTTGCACAATAGTAAGTTTTATTTTCAAGTTTACTTTATAATCGAAAATGTAATTATACTAGGGGCATATCAAAGTTAAAAATTTGTATTTTTAATCGTAAACGATTGGATGTTTAGGTGACGGAAGTTTTGTCCAAATGCGATTGTACTTGGATGGTTGGTTGCGTGCACGATAGGGTGCGCTAAACGTCAAATAATTTAGTACTCTAATTATTTCCTTCCCCTGCAGTTATAAACATTTTCATTTTATATGTAATAGAGATAAAATAGTTCATAATGCGGATACATATGCAACATAATTTGTACTTTGGAGGATTTGTTACTTTTATCGGAATATGTTTGTATTTCACTGCATTTGGACCTATGATTAACCCAAACCCGTACAGTACGTATATACATAGCTTATTTGTAGAAAAATGAAAAAAACAAACAAACAAACAAACAAACAAACAAATAAATACATTAATGTTTTAGAGAAAATTAGAAATGAGGTCATAGCGCAGCTCCCACCAAAGTCGGATTTCGATTAAAATAATAATTGATTGATATAATGAGCAATATATACAGACATCAGTAATATATAAAACGTTTATATAATTTATTATATCGTATAACATTGGATGATGTATTATAAAATAATTCGTGTTTGCTTTGAATATAATTAAATAAAACTGTACATTATTTTTACAATTTTCTATAATCTTAAAATTCGTCATCATCACAGACATCAAGAAACACGTCAAATGCTTCACGGTTACAGTTACCATCTGACGTAAAAACGTATTTGTGAAATGTTCCATCCATGCAAACAGCTGAAAATAATTTCGATTGGATTATACGTATTATTGTGCATGGCCTAATATCCGATGGAATTTCATGCGTAAAACGAAAAAGAAGATTCAACGAATGTAATAATATAAATACTAACCTATAACCGAACTCCTTGTACCAAATGCACAAACGCATGCACACTCTGGAGGCACCGTAAATGTGGCAAGAGCCCATTGACTTTCTACATAGTTTCCTAGAAATCTCATTTTTGAAAACCTTAAACATGTAATAAGACGTTATTGTTTGGTTAATTACTTTAACTTTGTTTTCTTGTTATTTAAAGCACTTACGTTGATCTTCGATTAAGATGTGTATCTTTAAGTGCAAATATATGAACCGTTCCTTTATCGCTTGAAGCACACAAAAATTCTGAGTCTCTACTAAAAGTAATGCTAGAAAAATTGTAGCAAAAGAATTTTTAAAAAATATAAAAATACATAAGATATTTGAAATTGTATAAAAAAAATTTATAAAACATGTCATAGTTTAATTATAAAGAAGATGTTATTTTTGACATTTAAAACTAGAATTATATGGAAATTATATAAAGTATTTGTAATGAAAAATATAACCAAGTTTTTCATTAACTACACTTACCAATATAGCGTAGCTGAATCGGCGCCCCGTCTTAATTCAACCAATAAATGCTTGCGTATGCTGTCCCACACTCTAACAAGTGTCCCTTGTGCAGAAGCTGTTGCTACTTTTGTTCCATTGGCATTCACAGCCAAACAAGCTAATACTCCCTAATTTACAGTGATCAATAACATTATATATTATTATGATGGTTGAGGTAAAAAAATGGAGTACTTCCAAGACTATTTTTCAAATCGATCTTGAGTCTTTATACATTACATTATTTAATTTATAATAGGAGAAAATTAATATATAATAAATAATAATACTTAAAAGAAAAAAAAATTATTGTTAAATAATTATAAAAATTTTTACTGAAATTTTTGTATAATATTTCATAAGCCAGGACTTTTAAGGATATAAATGTCTAACTTAAAAACTAAAACATACTTTTTCAACAAATAAATTATATATATATATATATATATATATATATATATATACTTTTATGTTCAAGCTTCTAATAAATTGGATGCTCAATAAAATTGTTTAGTATTAAATTAAAAAATTTTTTATTACTCATAGCTATTTAAATTGTATTATAGTTCTCGAAAATGCTTAATAGCATCACATAACAATATCTTTTTACAAATCCAAATGTATCCGCATCGATCTTTAAACCATAGATTTTTTATAAATAAAAAAATCGTTTTACTTGATGAGCTGCTAATGTTGCTGGAGCACTGGATGTTCCAGCTTCTGTTGTTCCAAGATCGACTAATTGAATACTTCCGAGTTTATGGCCTGGAAATGCAAGCAATTGCTTGTGAGCTGTAGCAAGCGTTGCAACTTCCACTAATCCTTTAGGATTATCTCTAGTTTCCAGAGTGAGTAATCTGCGTGTTGGTATTGGAAAAGAAAAAACATGGATTTCTCTTTGTAAAGCCACTATGAGTCTAAAATAAAACAAAACGATACACCATATACGTAAATAAGCGTGATGTTTACAATAAAAAAAATTACAATTCGTCAAGCCAATATGGAAATTCTTATGCATTCTATTTAATACCAAATATATTACAAATTCCTGACACGAGTACGGAAAATAAAATCTTATTTACATTGTAAAAATAATAACATCAATTAGATCGATCGAATTATTTTAATAAACATTAAAATATCGACTTACTTATCTCTTCGCAATCTGACGGCCTTAATAGGACTCGTAAAAGTAATTTCCATTATAAACTTTTTGGCCAAATCGTCATAAATAAGTACAGTGTTGTCTGCAAATTTTGGCCTCGTACCACCACCGACAATAGCAATAACATTTGTCCTCCAGAGCATTTCACCTATGGCAATACTCCCCATAAGCTCATTCTCAAAGTGTGCTTTTTCAACCAATGGTTCAACATTATATATCCTAAGGCCAGATTCCATACAACACGTAAAGCATCCTGTAAATCAACGCAACGCTATTAATCTTATCGATGGCCTTTCATCTACTAAATAACGAATGAATTATACGCATTTCACATTAATAACATTCATTGCTCAAGGATTTCAAGAGCCATTGTTATCGTTATTAATATATGAATAACAACTAATATCACAATATTAAAGCAATAATAAGACTAACTCTATTATCAGATCTATCAATTCATAGTTTTACCTTGATCTTGATTAAATCGTAGACTAAGAATTCCTCTGGATCCTGCCATTACTTTTTAATTGTTAAACTGCAACGCGTTGTCTTCAATTGCGCGGATTTTAATGCTCATTCGCAATATTAATCACAAGTCTTAACCATTTGTCTCCCGTACATCGAAAAGTTTGCAGGGTTACACATTAAAATGGATCACAAATATATGCTTTCACTTTCCTTATTCCTTCTAGTTTCATTATTTGACCGATTTGACGTCCAAATTCGATCGAGTTTTTTCCTTTATTTACGTCTTCGTCTTGTCATCTGCCATTATCGTGTATAAATATAGCCGACGAATATATAAGGCAGTGAGACATTCAACATGTACTCATAATATATTATCGATATAATCTTTTCTTAGAAATTGGCCAATCGCGCGGATCTAGTTTATATCTATCAATTACTTTTGTCCAATAAATACAAATAAGATTTCGCTGTTGGCGCCAATTTCAAATGAACGCTATGAACAAATGAAATTATTTGCAAAATGTTACGTAGCGCCTCCTCCATTCAATCATTCTACCTTAGCTGTCACACTAAAATTCATAATAATTACAAATTTCGTGCGGATTATTGTACTAATAAATTTTATATTAGGGAAATGATGGTAGAAAAATTATGTTTACGGCTTTGGAATCAAATATTTGCAGATAACGCAGATAACTTCCGTTAAATTTAGCACTTACTTATCTGCTTTGTACCTGTGTATCGAAATTCCAATGCCGAATTTTCTATTATAAAAAAAAATTTGTTCTTCTTCAGTAAAAACGTTTGTCGTGCATCTTTACATGATAAAATGTTCAAATTCTATACAATTTTCATAAACATAATGAATAATTAATCTCAAATCGTCCATGTATTTTATTTTAACTATTTCATTCAGAAAAAGTCAATCCGTCGTCTTCTTTACTGCACAATGTCGATTTAGATTCATCATATAAAGTATTCTTATAAAGTCGAAAAAAAAAGAAAAAAAAATTACAATTGTAATTTTAATAATGAATGTCTTATTATTAATCTTTAAGTTAAAAAAAAAGTTGTTTTTGTAATTTAAAGAAAAATTTGCTTAGATTTAACAAGATTTCACATTAATTAGACATTGGTTAAATTTCGATTCGATTGAAGCAATCAACTATTTACAATACAAATTGTATTTATTATTTATTACACTTTAGTCGCATTTCATATTACATTGACGATAAGTATGATTTGTTAATTATACAATTCTTTTTTTTTTCAATGTTTATATATCCATAATTATAATATTATTGTCATTTACCATTTTTCAAGATATGGTTTTTATAAATTATTAAGTAGGTAGTAAGCTCAATTTGCTTAGATGCGAAATGCATTTTACGATTTATCTGAAATTTCTGATTTTATATTAAAATTATTGTTAATGATTTATTTTTTAAAAACATTGAAAATTTCTCCATTATTTAAGACGTCAATTCATTGTTCACTTGAGAAAAATTTGTCTATTAAACTATATTAACGTACAATAATAATTAGTTTACCAAAATCAAAGTTAACTATTCAATTATCTAAATGCTTTTGAAATTTATTAACATTATAACGAAAATTTTTAAACAGAATTTTCATATGGCCTATTAAAATTGAATTATTCACAGTATTCAAATTTGTTTATGCTGAAACATATTTTCGCAAAATATGCCTTCAATAAGTCAATAAAATTCGCAATAGTTGTTGTATCTGCAACAACAATTATATTATTTTCTCTCAATTTCAGTATTGTCTATTAGCAGTGTTTTATTAACGGTATTTTGTTTATGTGTTGAATAACGTAATGAGAGTGTTATATATCACAATTATAATAAAATGTGAAACAATTGTTTTTCTTATGGTTAGAAAAGCAAAATATTGTCAAATTACAATCTATTGGTATTGTGTTTAAATTTGTTAAATTTTAGATATATCGAAGTTAAATACAGTAGATAGACATCAATTCAGTAGTATTAAATGGTTTAAATTTAAATAAAATATAATTAAATCCAATAAGTTTTTATATGGTAATGCTTGTCCCGGTTTTCTCTCCAATCAAGCACTTAACTTTAAATTTTGTTTTTCTTCACAATATCAAATTGTTTCTCATTTTAAATAAAATTCTTTTTTAATATCTTCAAAGCGTATATTTTTTATTTAAAATTTGAAAAATAAATCTTACTAGAAACTAATATTATAATGAAATTTGTAACGAATATCAATTTTTTAAATTACACTATGAATATTTATTTATTGATTCTCTTATTCACTCATCCTGTATATAAATATAAATATAAATATTTTATTATATATCATTATATATTCAACTGACTGATTTACAATTAGCTATATTAATATTATTGCCACTAATTATTAATTGCAACTAAGGACGAATAAAATACGCAGCTCTACAAAAGCTTAGGTAGTACACATAATCTGTATATATATATATATATACACAGTATGGTTAATCATCAATATCATAAAATTATTCGGTTTAATTAAATTTGAAACGAGATAGGATCTATATATACATGGAGAATAATTTAAATATTGTAGAGAAAGATTTGCATTGAGAATTTAAAAATAAGCCATTTGTAAGCTCTTTTAAGTGATACTCTTCATACATAAAAACTAATAAGGCAACCTTAATGTGTGTTTTTTTTTTGTTTTTTTTTTAACTTTTTATAAAATCTATAATTTGAGAGGAAATTAATCTTATCATAGTTTTTGATTTGCCTTTGTGATACTAATGCAGAAAGGTACTTTATTGTATTTTAAATGCCATATCGGCTATACAATTATGAGCTGTAAGTACTGCAGATCTTAGGAAGAGAGCGTTATTGTGTTCAGCGGGCGTTATGATGACAACGTAATTGGCTAGCTTACACGCCGTTAATTAGCCGGTGGATCTAAGAAAAAAGGCTCTCCAACATATTGCTAGTTCTTTCTTAAGGAGATTAATGAAATTTGCACATTATAAATGCTAAGCCTTTAATAATAAACAAGAACACATTTTTTTTTTTATTTTCACTCGTAAACAAACAATATATTTATTGTTAAAAAATTTTTCTATATTCTATAATAATTTTAAACATAAATTCAAAAACGATTTTTAAGGATGATTGGTTAAATTAAATTATATGCAAAATAAAAGAGAAATATTGTGTGCTTTTTTCGAAGAATATTTTGCATGCGCTAATTCACGTTTGAATAAATTACGCCTGAATTATTCAATCGTAAATACATATAATTTTAAAAAGTACGAAGTAATTAATTAGATGTCAAAACCAAATAATTCTCTAACTTTGGCTATTCTTGTTAATTTGCTTAAGATTATTTTTAAACCTCAAAGTAATATGAAAGTAATAAGTAAGTAGGTCATTGAAAAAATGAACAAATAAGAGACAAATAACATACACTTCCTGTATATTAATTGTGTTTACTTGTCCGTAAAAAAAAAAAAAAAAAAAAAAAAAAAAAAAAAAAAATCTATAATTATTACATCACTATCATTATGATCGATGCCATTGTAATAAGATTAGTATTGTTATTCATTTATTTTAAGACCTCGAAGGATTATCACTTAACAAATGACAGGCCTCCTACTCTTATATTTTATTTTATCTTATGGTTCCAAATACTCGACCCGCCAAATCCAATTTAATTTCATTACCTTCGTATCTATGCAATGAACATTATTTCTGTATATTTAACATTTATCCTTTCAACATCAACTTTATTTCTTTCTATGTTTACGACATCATATAAACGATAATGTTTAAGCATAATCGACCGCAAACCCTTTATGAATAAATGAATTATACAAGAACGCAAAAGAAAAGATTGTTATCTCATAGTATTATTCATCCCGTCAATGAGCTTACTAATGACCGTTAAATTTGCCAACTTTATTGCGCACTTTCATATCGCTTTTTGATAATATTCTTAAATGCAAATTCCCATTGTTTGTTTGTTTGTTCGCACCTCGGGTGATCGATAAAACAACGAATTCCATAACGAAAATGACGCAAGGGGTCGGCGACCCGTCCTCTCCTCCTTCAGCTCAATCGCACATCGACACCAATTTCCATTAAAGTCTTTGAAACGCGCGTTTCCCTCTCGCCTCCCGATCAATCCACAATCCACATTGCCATTATCGCAGCAAATATCCTGGAAGCCGCGACCAACTAAACAGTCAGCTGCACCGATGCCATCCGTACCGAACTTACGGCGACCTCCAATGCGCCAAACGGCGTGTAATCGGTTGCGCGCGCACTTGGTGGTGGCACGCGCCGAGCCACAGACAAATTACGAAGGGTTTAGTGCCGAGGGGCACAATGAGGTAAGCGTTTCGATTGCACAGATAGTCGCTAAACGTCGACGTTGATAGTTTATCTAATGGTGAGGCTTGGTAAGTTCGGGGAGCTTTTCGGTTTTGGTTGCCGTTATTTCTTGAACTCGACTTTTGTATCGTCTCCCTTTGGAGAACCTTGACAACCTCAAGACTTTTTGTTGTAAATGTACGGGATCGATTGATTGATCCTTGCTTTCTTCTTCTTCTTCGTCTTTTTTTTTCCATTTCTCTCTCTCTCTCTCTCTCTCTCTCTCTTCTTTTTTTTCTTTTTTTTTTTTTTTTTTTTTTTTTTTTTTTTAATTATAAAGTAAATACTGGTGGCACTTGGTAGAAATTGAGTTGATGTGCAGAAGTGACACACGAAAATGTCTCCAATGTGTCGAGCGAAGTGATCTTACGAATAATAGTAATGCATTATGAGAAATAAAAATTGTAACTCGCCGTTGGTAAATTACACGGGGCTTCTTCGCTAAAATTTCATTTTGTGAATGAAAAATCTTAAGGTAAGTCATTAATCGTCGTCATTTTATTCCTTTAATGCTATCTTTGCTACTATTAATTAAGCAATAAAATAAAGAAATAAAAAATTACGCGCGCATCTGTGATACAACGTAAATAACTAGTTTTTTTTTTTTTTTTTTTTTTTTTTTTTTTTTTTTGTAAACCATATTTTATAAACTATTATAAAAATATCACTATTATAAAACTATTATAAAAATCTATTGTTGTAATAATTTTATATCCTTATTTGCTTTATCACGATCGATTAATTATTAATGTGCATAGTCTTCGTTGAGAGTCCCATGAGCGAGAAATAAAGATTCAAGCTACCTTAAATCTACTTAAATTGTAAAAATTTTTAAAAAAAATTTCAATGATACATTTTATATATTTTATATTCATGATTCATCATCAATGTTTCAGAGATATTAAAATATCTATTTCATGTAATAATGTTTAATAATTTTATTGGCGCTCGTAGTTTAATATTTGGCAATAAACTGTTTATCGTACTATGTAAGTGCCATTGCATATTACGGTCTCATAATAAAATGCAATGCATTTGACTTAAATATTTGTATCGAACGTCGAGAAGCTTAGATTTAATCATTACTTTAGAGTTATTAATTCAATAAATATTAGCCTGAATTCAATTTCACAATTCAATATCCGTTTACAAAAGTGAATCGACGAAATATTTAAATCAAATAATGAGTAGTAGTTTTTTTTTTTTTTTTTTTTTTTTTTTTTTTTTAAATATTACATTAAAATGTATTTTTTAATGTAAGCATTTAGTCATAAGCTATTGTGCGCGTCTACATGTGCTTATAAAAACATTAAAATTCCAAATTCTTGTCACTGAAAACTAATCGTTCGGTTATGTAATGCAATTGGCTTCTGCAATTTGGGCAACCAACAAAAATTCATTTGCCTTCGCATTTATAAATATCGAGACGCTTATATTATATTTTATGTATCGACTATAAACTTATATATAACTTATACTATCTTCGGATATTCTTGATGCTTAAAGTTCTTTTAGGCGTTCTATAGTACTGTTAGCTAAAAGTAATAATTTATAAAATGCCATTAACCTAAATGCCATTTACTTTTGAAATTAAAAGCTCATTTTGCAAATATGCTAAAAATAATTTGGTACAATAGTTTTTTTCTGTTTTTTTTTTTTTTTTTTTTGTAACAGTAACGTAATATTGCTATGTGAAAAGTATTGATAAAAATAATTTTCGTAAAATTTTAATATTTGCTTAATTTATTTACTTAATTTATTATATTCGTTAATGTTAAAGAGTCGATGGCGTTTAATTCGAGTCATAAGTAAATTTAAAAAAATCTTACTCGAATTAAACACCAATAAGATTTATGTGGACGCGCTCTTTGCAATATTATCACAACCATCCATTCCATCAATAAGCATTACATCCCTATGCCTTAATATCAAATTCCAATCCATTGCTAAAAGTGATTGTTTCAAAATAAAGGCGCTTAAATGGTTGAAAGCAACGATTGCACTAACATCGAGCCAAGTTGAAACAAGCCGAGATAGATTATTACCAAGGCGTCGGCAAGATAGACAGTAGTAAAAAGGATTGAGAAAATGATAGGTCCGTCGTCAGGATCGGGCGAGGGAGTTCCCGAGGACCCCAACCTACGAGCCTGTACGAAGCGACGTGCCTTCGATGAGCTGGACATTGAGAGCATTTGCGATGAAGTTTGCGGCCATAATCACCATCGTCAGTCGACCAAAAAGTCGCGCTTCTTAGAGGACCTGCAGGACTCGGTGTCGATTGAACACGAAGGCAATATGATTTACGTGCCTCTGGACGAGCAGCAATTGCAACGAGATGACCTGGATGGGCCGTTGACTAGGCTCGAGGTTCTTGTGGTCGACGGCACTTGGGACGAGGCTTTCGAGAGCTTCGAGACAGGTGACATTTTTTTTTTTTTTTTTTTGGTTCATATACACACGATACCTTGCCTAAGACTTTTATCGTTAAATTTGCTTTATTTAAATGTGTATGGGAGTTATCTATCGTGAAAACTGCTTCTACTTCGCTAATATTACATTGCAGCCCCCCCCCCCTCATCATTTAAATATTTTTATTTAATCATGTTTACTAAAAAATTTATAAATATAAAGCGACTGACAATATATTCTCATCGATATTTTCTACAGATTGTGGGAAATGACGTTTACTCTTGTAATTTACAAATAAACATTATTATTGATTTGCAAATTATAGCCATTACAGGCATGGCATTTTATAGATTTAAGAATGGTTAAACTTAGCTTTTAATTTAAATTTATGTAGGGATTCTTTATTAAGAAGTAATTATTACTTGATTAGTAATTGCCATGGAAATATATATATATATTGTATATATATTATATATATTATACATATTATATATATTATAATGTATATATATTATACAAGCAATGATTTTTTGCCTTTTCCTTATTAACTTATTAGTGAATTGAAGATAATATTATAACATTGTTCGAAATCTTTATGACTTATTGTCTTATTCAAGTACGAATGCTTAAATTTAAATAATGAATAATTATTAATTTTTCGCATTTATCAGTAGAATTATTTGTTTCCAAAAAACCTAATCAAAGAGCCATACAAATAACTTAATTACATAAATACTTGTAAATTCTGAAGTATAATTATTTCTCAGTAATATCGATTCATTATAAACAAATACATCTTATCTATTAAGATTTTACTAAATGAGAACTTTTGTTATTTTTACACGACTTTTGAAAATATATTAAGTAATAAATATGTGAACGAAAATATAAGACGCAAATGTTGTAAGTATACGATTAAAGTTTAACATTGTGCCGAGTCATTACAATAAAATAAATAAACAATTATTGATTTTTAATTAGTTCTCCTGTAATTCACAAATAATTAAAATTTTTAAATGATCTTGAATATATAATTGGTCGAAGTGAAGTAAGAAATATACAAATAATCAATTTAATCCATTTAAGGCGATGTATCCTTATATTAATGTAATTTTTAATTTGTTGACATGCACAACTTTTCGATAAATATATAAATATTATATAAGAAATAGAATAGTATATATAGAAAAACTATATATTGAGGCAAATAGATACGCTCGTAGAATATTATTACAATGTGGAATACTCAGATTAACTTTCAATATGATATGCAAAAAAAGATAATTAATTAAAATTATATTATTTTAGTATCAATAAAATCAATAAAACAATGACGTTTGTTTGAGACAAACGTACAATTAATGCACAATTTGCATTAAACAATTTTATGAAATATTTTTGTTTAGCTAACTTTATGTTTAAGGTATTTAATAAGTGTGCGATTGCTCCTCGGACCTTAATTGGAAGGGAAAATTAAAAATTCTATTAAATAGATGAATTGATGAAATTATTATTATTATTTCACAAATTTAAAATTATAGGATATACATAATATTTATTTTAACGCAAAATAAAAGCAACTACTATGTTATAATCGCTTCTTTTTTCTTTTTTCTTTTTTTTTATCAAATGCAAATTTGTATTAAAAAAATTACACTAATGTGATAAAATTGCATATTACATTGTATAATTATTTTAGTGTTTATTCAAGTGCTATACTTAATCGAGAATCGATTCCATAATTTTTAACACTGTTTTGTTTTTTTAAATAATGATAGACATAGGATTCGGACATAAAGGAGAATACTTCAAAATTGTATTGAAAAATATTCTATTTCGAATAAAACGATATAAAACATGTGCTAAAAAATTGTAAATTAAATAGTGAATATCGTTTTGTATAAGTAATTTGAACTTGTATTTTATTTTTTCTTTGGTAAGACAACAAATTGAATATATCCAAATCATACCAAATATTCCATCACAACTATCATAATAAATTGAAAAAATACATTATATAAAAATATATTTATTTTTCTTCCAAAATTGATTGAGTTTAACTGTTATTATTTTGTTTTTGTCTTTTTTTTTCTTTTTTTGTTATTTAATTAAGTATTGTACTTATAAATAAGTAAAGCATAAGGTTATTTAGGTTAGTTGCACAATATTTACATTACATACGTAATAGTTTAAAGATTAATTTTATTATACTGTAGGGATAAGACGATAAAGTGGTAAAAATTGTAATATTTAAATGACATTTATAATTTTTATTTAAATTATTTAAATGATAAAACATATTACTACTTTTTGTACTTACAGATGATGATATAAAAACTTTGCAAGAGCACGTATTTTTGTAAAATATTGAGTAAATTTGCTTGAAATAAAATTATGGCCGACGTAAGTTCCAATAAATATTAATTATCCGATAGTGAATTAATTAAAATTATCCGAATTAAACTAACCTATTCTGTAGACGACTAATTATCTTTGTTCTTAGTCGTATTATAATTATTGAAAACTACCATAAAAAAAAAATATTATAATTATAATATATTTATATTGCTAATATTATATTATTACATTGAATTATAGATATAGATTTTAACATTATAGATCATTATTGTATTAGATATATTTTTAAATAAAATTGCATTAGAACGTATAATTCAAATTTGCGATTTATGTGAAAATTTGCCATAAGCTAAACCGCAATTTTTCGCGAGACTATCATCTTAATTATATTATTATACTACTTGCTGTTACGGCGAAAGCAATTACATGTAATAATCCATATACAATTGTCCACTTAATTAGAATTAATTTGTAATTGCATTATTTATATATCAATAGATAAAAACAACATACATGTCCTATAAATTTGACTCCCATTAATGAACAATTTTATGTCCCCTAATAATGGTGACGTATTCATTGTTAATATATTTTGTCTGAAAATAGCGTCAACAACGGAATTAACGTCAATTGAAAACGAATACAATTTACATCAGCACCAGCAGCACGAGACTCAAAATCTCGAGAACACTTTCCAGGATTTGTATTGGAGTCCGAGTCCGAATTTACATCAACAAGATTATCAACAGGAGGAACAGCAATTGGTTATGCCAAAAATACAGAGCAATGAAAGTGGAAGAATGCGCAGCGGCTTAGGACTGTCGCATACAGTACTTCCAGCATCGTCCTCCTTCGAGGATCAGGAGAACGGAAATCTCTCGTGGCTTTTGGATTTTAAACTCGATTCTCTTATCGAGGCGCCCGAGGATAAGGCCGCTGTTCTTCTACCGCGAGATGTTCAAGGTATATCCATTAAATATTCCGATACATTGTCAGAGAACATGATTGTTGAACTATTACAACTATTAACATCTGCCATTGATATAATAACAATTTCGAATATTTCAATTATCAAAGCATTTAAATGGTGTTTACGTAACTTGCGACAATACTGCTGCAATACTTCATTTATTGTAATGTACTTCGCATATTTTCCATTTATTATCAAAAACAAATTTATCGCAAATTTAAAGAAGATATTTTCGAAGAAATTGTAAATTGTATGAATATTAGTAGTGATAAAGCGAGTATCTATTGGTCAAAATTATGCAACGAATGATATCGACATTTTTTTTTTCATTGTACGCATACATTTACATATAGAGCATTTAACGTTAAATTAAAGTAAAATATATCTTCATCGTTTTAGTAATGTCATTAAATAATTGTTTTGTTAAATATCATTTTAAAAAAATGTATGCCTATATAGAAATATTTGCTAAATTTGTCTTAAATTTATATTATATAAGAGCTAATTATTCCAATAATATAACAATTAATAGAGATAGTTACATAAAATAATCCCATAAAAATTAAAACTTTTTACTATTAAGGAAGTAGAAGCTTTTTTTTATTTGCTTATTAGTTGAAGAATATCATTTTAACTACTAAATGCATTTGAATTTTCTTTAAAATTATTTGTATAATAAATATAAACATTTATTTGAAATTTACCTTCAATAAACAATTTTGTATTTTGATTATTTTTGTTTTCTTATGTTTAAATAGAAATAGCTATTAACGATTTCCCATGTACTTTCATAATTTCTTATAATAGAGATTATACGTTCAAATTAATTTATATGTGTTTTTGAGCCGTTGTTTTGTATGATTTTTTTTTTTACTAAATAAAGAATAATAAAAATTAATAAACTTTAGATACTTTGTTAATGTATGCTCGACGTGCACTTGTCAAATATATATATATATATATATATATATATATATATATATATAGAGAGAGAGAGAGAGAGAGAGAGAGAGAGAGAGAGTCGAGATAAATACAAATAATTTAATAATGATTAAAAATAAAATTTACATTTTAATATTACGCTGCAAATTAAATTAATAACTAAACTCGAGTTTTACAATCACTATTATAGTAATCATTATTTTCACAAAAAATTTCTCCATAAATGTATCTCTATAAATCTATAATTTATAGGAATGCATCTGTATGTCTAGACTGTATGTTACTATGTATTCATCTGATTATAAGAATAGAAATGTTTTTTCAATCAATTGAGTTCTACTTGTAGGAAATAAAACTAAATTCAATGGAAACAATAATAGGACAGCGAGCTCGTATTCGCACGACTCGACAAAAAGGTCGTGTAATTTTGTGACCCCTGGACTAAGATACGAAAGTACATATTCATCATCATCATCATCATTCAGCCTAAATGATAATCGAAATCGTTCAGCTGGATCTAAGAAGCCGCCGTTCACATACACAGAGTTGATCGAGCACGCCCTGCAAGAGCGAGGTGAATTAACAGTTTCGGCTATATATCAGTGGATTACGTAAGTTAGCCTTTTTTCTGTACAATAATTAATAGTTAAAATTGCGTTTATGTAAACAGCGTTATTTTCTCAGCGATATACGATTTTACAGGTTTTTTTTTTTTTTTTTTGAAGCTTTTGCAAAATTAAAGATTAAGAGCGATAAAATTTTAGGTCTGTGATAAAAGAAAGAAGACATTTTAAGATAAATAATCTTTAGGATCAAAAGTATCATCGTGCATGTTGCCATTTATCGTTTAAAGAAAAAAAAATCACAAAAAGAAAACTTTTAACTAATGTCAACATTATATAAATATTTATTTTATAGGAATAAATTATTCCCTTCGTATAGAGAAAATGAATGCGTGCAAGTTCAACATTTACTTATGAAATTACATAGAATTACGCTACACTTTGACGCCTAAAGTTCATTGGATCAACATATTTTCACTCATTTTCGATGTAAAATTTTCACTAGCTCTATATCCCTAATAAGTCATTGTTTATTACCGAATACTTATACTTCCATTGAAACAATTGAATAATCACAATTAAATACGAAATCCACTTTTAACGAAACATTTTGTTATAAAAAAAATGTTTATATTCATACTTAAAAGCTCATAATTTATCGAAACTTTTTTCATAATCTATTGTAAGTGCTCAAATGCATTTTAAATAGGCACGACTATGATTTATTCGCTCGATTGTCAACTATAATGTAGACTTCTGGTACTGCATAAGTACACGTATGTCCTAGATGAGATTCAGATCATATATGTACAGATTATAATATCATGGAAAAATCGATATTTGATTTTTCGTAATTGCAATGCATATACAAATTATGTTTTAAAAATATAACAATAACAATCATCATAATAATAGTAAAAAAAATAACAACAATGCTAATTATTGTTAATATAACGAAAGGAAATTATTCCTTTTTATCTGCCTTCCTCTGTCTGTCTCTCTCCCTCCCGCCGTGTCACACTCTTATGATGAAATCTGAAAATTATTAAGTGGAACTTGAAGAGCGCGCACAAGGGCGATAGAGAACAAGTGATTGAGTGCGCATATGCGCGCGCTTCTATTCTCTCTCTCTCTCTCTCTCTCTCTCTCTCTCTCTCTCTCTCTCTCTATGTCTCCCTCTGTGTGTTTTTGTACGTTTGCTTGGGTTTCGGGGCACTCCTGCGCGTGTGTGTGCGAAAGCGAGCGTGGGGTACGAGTATCGGGGTGGGTTGGCGAGAGGGAGGAAAAAGGAGAGTACATTTGTGGAAGCGAGAGAAGGGTAGTATAATCGTCAGTCACAGGTAGTACAGACTGGTACCGGTTGGTCTCGTCACCCGGTACAAGCCGGCACCGTCTTCTCTCACCGATTCCTGCACGGCAACGCACTGAGCCAACCCCCCCCCCCCCCACCAAAAACCA